CCCAAAACCCCAAAACCCCAAAACCCCAAAACCCCAAAACCCCAAAACCCCGATAACCAAATAATTCTGGTAAACAATAATAATTTGTGACTAATAAAGCTAAAATATTAAATTGCATTGAAATGGAAAAAAATTAACCAATTGGTGAGCAGGCAGGAGATATTTATATCTTATCGGGTGATTTAGGGGGAACAAATATTAGACTCTCCTTGCTCAAGATAACCGATGCTTCCTTTGAAAAGGTTCACTTCAAGCATTTATTAACAAAGAATACTCGAGCCTTAGCAGTAGAATTAAATGAATTTCTTGATGAGATCCCAGTGAATAGAGAGCTAGTACGTGTTGGGATAATATCCATTGCAGCTCCTGTTTTTGATGATGGCATCTGCCCATTAATGATCGATGCGATTCATTGGGGAGAGATTAGGGAGAAGGACATATAAGAGGCTACTGGCATCAAAGTAATAAGACTTTTGAATGATGCAGTTGCTTAGGGGTACGGTACACTCAATATTCCATAGGAACTTACTAGGTGCATTTATGATCCTAGTGATAATGGTGTTACTGAATTACCAGCAGATAAAATTAGACTGATTTATTCTGTAGGGACAGGACTTGGTTTCTGCATGATGTCGAGACCAGACGAATCTGTTCCCTATTATCACTACCCAAGCGAACTAGGTGCCATTCCTTTGCCTTTACATAACCAAAATGATAGGGCATTTTACAAATTCTTGACAGATAAAGATAAAAAGAACATTTTCTAACCATCACTTTCTGTTTTATCAGGAGGTTGTGGATTACTATACTTACTCGAATTCTTATTAACAAGGGATGAAGAATCCCAAAAGAAATATAGCAACTGCCCAATATTGGTTGAAAATAAATTAGAAGATATTTAGCCTAGGATGGTGTGTGATTATGCTAAAAATATGAATGATGAGCTTTGCATAGAAGTCCTAAAATACTTCTTAGATCATAATGCCAAGACTATTTCTGATTAGATATGCTTATACTTGCCACTAGGAGGTATATTTTTGTCAGAATCAGTGATTTAAGGAATGGAATTTATGTTTGACAGACCTGATGATAAGAAACACTTTATTGATGTAGTGTAAAACATTGGTGCGATTGAAGATTTGGTAAAAAAAATAAAAATAACTTTGATAACTGCTAAAGACTTGGCAATAAGAGGGTGTGTTAATTTCGGAAGACAGAACAAAGTTTTTTGAAATAACTTATATCAAACTATCAACAAACAATTTGCCTAACAATACTCATTGTGTCTTAGGTTAATTTCATGACATTTTATTTTTACCTTCCAAGTTGCAAATCTCACATTAAGGGGTTTTGGGGTTTTGGGGTTTTGGGGTTTTGGGG